TACTACTACTACTACTACGACTATACTACCACTATACTGCTATTGCTACTCCTGCTGCTGGTGCTGCTGCTGCTGCTGCTACTGCTACTGCTGCTACAGCTACCACTACGACGAGGACTAACACCATGACGACGACTACGACCATCGCCAGAAGAAAGGGGGAATGCTTAGCCTTAGGAAGCTTGGACGTGTAATCCTACCTGGACTGTCGGGCACGGGCGTCCGTTCAAATGGTCTTTCTTCGCCGACCAGCACTCGATCATGAACCACTGCGGCTTATGGGACCTTGATGTGCCCGGCTTGCCATCGCGCCCATTGCGGGATTTGAAAGCGGCCCTGCTACCCAGGCCCTCCCAAACCTGCTCAGCAGATGCTTGCATATCGACCGTTCTGAAGAACGAAAAGTGCGCTCAAGTACAGCTTTGCTTTCTGGCACTCTTTGTAGCCAAGATTGTCCATCAAGTTTCGAATTTTCCAGCTTTGTGCTTTCTCGAATGGAGTCAGATCATGTAGCTCAATCATAAGGGATTCCACCAGCACATCGGAAAAGTTCATGGTGAGCAGAACTTCCAACTCGGCGCCTTCAACGTCCAACACCAGGAAGTCAACATGCTTCTTCGCGAGGGCCTTCAGATACCAAGACATGGGTCTGCAAGGCACCACGACACGCTGGCGCAGGCGCTTAAATCTGCTCCGCACCGTCTCAGACAGGTGTCTTGTGTCTCCATCCACAGCTCCAATATCACCTTTCGAAAACGTTGTATTTGTAAAGGGAGGTGGGCACACTGCCCCGTACTGGGGAATCACGTTTGTTATGCCCATATACTGTAAATTCCTGATCAACATTTGGAAATTGCGTGGGCTGCCCTCTATCAACATTCCAGTCCATCCCAGGCATGTCTGCAGGGTGAGCGTGTTGGAATACTTGTAGCCATCCAGGGCGCCGATCTCCACATAAACCCCATCTCTCTTCCTTCGCCATCCAAGCAATTCAATCACCTTCAGTTCCTCACCAAACTGTGACTGGCTTGCGAAGCAAGAATCGCTTCCCCCGAGGCAGCATCGCTCAAAGTTGAAGCGTCCCTTCCAGCATGCAAGCTGCCTTCCAGACCAAGGATTTTCACAGCAAGCCTCCCGTTGATCTTCCCACAGCCCAGTCCAACACCCAGGGTCACCAGGCAGGAGGGACCCGAAGGAGGGAGGGGGCAACGCGGTGGCCAAAAGGGCTGCAAGTGCCCTCGGGTGGCACACAGCTTGGCAAATGCTTCTCCGTCTTGCTTGCTTCGCACGAGACATGGCTGATTGTGTGCTTTGAGTCTTGTCCATGTCTCTATCAGTGTCAAACCCTCCCGTCGTGCCTTGCTTGCTTCATTGCTGTGGCACGATCAGCTGCCTAACCGGTTTATGTTCGGACACATGTGCTTATTAGGCATGCATGCCGACATACATACATACATACATACATACATACATGTCATACACACACACACACTCTCTCTCTCTCTCTCTCTCTCAGTAAAAATCGATTTGACCACGCTATATCTGAGACCATTTGCACAGGACGCATTGTAGTGAAATACCAGAGATAAGACACTCATAATCTCAGGATGCTTGTGCCTGCACCCACCAGTATCACATAAACTCCTATCTCTTTCTGGCATGTGGATTGCCCTTTCGATTGTACATTACAGGAAGCAAGACTTCGCTATCAAGGACTGCATCTGGCGCCACATCCCATAGACTGGGGTGGGAGTAAAGAACGTGGATGACGCATGTCACGTCAGAAACCGGCAAGCACACAGAACTAACAACTTACTACATCAGGCCACTGTCTAGAGTCTAGGGATCCTGCCCGCAGCCCGACTTTTCTCTAAACTCGCTGTGCGATTTGCCTTTAAGCACGAGGCCCCGCGGAAGGCCAACAAACCCCGAGAAAAGCGTGGAGCATTATTTCGCTAGGAATTATCCAATCCGTCAGGACAAAATGCTTAGGCACGCGTAGAGGACATCCGTATTGACCCGAGGTTAAGGACAAAGAACTAGGATTTAAGATAGATGTTCTGGAGGAGTTTATATGCAGATCACCTGACTTTATGTGGTACGAAAATGCATGCGATTGTTGGGGTTACGATGCAAAGCACGGCAACAGCCTTGGCACGACTTGCCAGATGACAAAAACTTGCAGAATGTGCCGTATACTTGACTCCGCGGAGAGGGCCGTTCCACCAACTATTCAGGGTCTATGGTAAGGTCCCAAACGCATGGAGGCATCCGACAAAAAACTCATGAAGCTTACCCCCCAAAGCGGAATCCTGAAATGACGGATGAGGGCTGTGCCCCTAGAACATACACATGAAGGTTCAAGCGGCTCTTCCGAAGCATGAACACCCCAGTTGCCTGAAGCTCAGGAAGCACATGAAGCTGTCCAGTGCCTTCGATGAAACGGTTGCGAGCCACGAAGTAAGAAAGGGCTTTGGAAAGTCACAAGTTATATGAGGGCTTCGGGTTTCAGGGTTCAGTTCAATCCAGAGGTTTCTGGACACTCACACTCGGATAACAGCGAAGGCTGCCACTTTGGAGTTCTACAGTCGGCTCGGCTCCTCACCTCGCAAAGCTCAGTTCCTCCAATACACGACAGCAAAGCCTGCGAACTCCAAGCTACAAACAAGGTATACCGAGTGGCCCCATCATGATACCCCCCCGAATCCGGTAAGCCCTTGATGTTCATATACTTCCTTAAGGCCTTAAGGTTCCTTAATGTCGCTATATATACTCGTACATAAGCCCAAAATAGCCCTGTTCTGATGACTCATCTTGATGAGCCAGGGCGCGGCCACAGGCCACCATGACCGCCTCAAGTGCTATAGCATCGGCCTCCACAACGGCTCTTCTTCAAACCCGTCGAGGTCTTGAAGAATTGGAATGGGGTGTTGGGTGGGGGGGGGGGGTGGGTTCTGCTATAAATTATCAATCTATGAGTTGCGAAAACCCTTGCATCCACGATGCCAGGTGCTAGCAGCCAGCATTCATAATTCATATATGCGCAGCGAGAAGCGAGACTGGAAACACAATCGAAAGTTGAAGAACACCAAATTACCTCCAACACCTCCCGGACTAGAAGCCCTCAAACGCAAACCCTACACCCTGCACTTCCGAAGTCAACCCTCCGTCCTTGAACGTGGGCCCTTTGCAGCCGCAACCCCCAAACCCCGCAAACATAACCCTTTGGAAACCTAAATCCTCAAACAGCGAAACACCCCAAATAGCAAGCCTGTAAAAACAGGTGTTTGCTCTCGGGTCTCTTGGTGGGTTGCTCCTTGCCTCGCCCTGTGCAGCGGCTAAGTTCAAAATCGCGACTGAATTCTCCTTGCGTTGTTGGAGCTTTGGGCAACAACGGGGTGCTATGGGGAACACAAAGGTACCTACCCTTTTCAGGTCGTAGTCTTCTCATAACTCCTAGCCCGCTTGGGGAGGGTGTGCCGAGTTTCAGGCTTTGAAGTTACAGTACATGTTTTTGCTTCAACAGTTTGAATTTGGCAGCTTTCCAAGCCGTCTAATGATGGAAGGCGGCCCTTGGAACGGCTCAACGCGCTATCGGACTTCGGTTCTTTGGAGTGACCTGTGGGAGAGTATGTCCACTCAGAGTCGGACCTACAGGGCGTGGCTGGTTTCGGGCTTTAGGTTTTAACGTGACAGGTGTCCCAGCTCCACGCACGCCGGCAGGCGGCCAACGCAGCGTTGTGTGTAACCTGACTCTCCATACGGGAAAGCAAAGAAATCTACACAAACATCTGAAGTTACATTAACTTCTGGATTCAACTTGTCACAAACGTTGTGGCAAAACGAAACTGCGCATGTGGCTGATACAGTACAACACATCACAGCACCACGGCTAGAAATCCGCAAGGTGGCGAGGTCTGGTCGTGGTCCTGCCTTCCACATGCCTGCACAGGCAACGGGTCTTTGGGGCTTTTCGGACTGAAGCTCCCAGAATTTCTTGAATGAAACTATAACAGGTGCATTGTGGTGCTATCATTTTATGGGCCGCTGGCATCCGCTGGCCTTCCAAGAGGGAGAGCAGCTTCTCCAGCTGGTGACCCTTCTCGAGCGCGCTGGCAAAAGCGTTGTGCACCCAAATGGAAGGCTCCGCTTGAAACGCGGCCTCAGCCTCCGAGAAGAGCTGAACGGCGATCTCCCAACAGTTGCACTTCTCGCAGGCGCTGATGGCGGCGCTGAAAGTGAATTCGTTGACTTCCAAGGAAGCCACATGCATCTGGGCCAGGAGTGCAACAGCATGCCTCCAGCTCAGCCCCTTCTCGCAGGCAGAGACCGCAGCACTGCAAGTCACGGTGTTTGGCTCGGTGCCTGCTGAACGCATGCGCTGTAGAACAGAAAGAGCCAGCTGCCACTCATGGGTCTTCTCACATGCTGTGATTACAGCGCTGTACGTCACAGTGTCCGGGAACACATAAGTCTGAAGCATCTCTTCGAGGAGCAGAAAGGCCAAGCCAACCTTGCGGCCTGCACCGCAGGCGCTTATGGCGGAGTTGTAGACGATGGTGTTTATCTCTATCTTTGCTATGCTCATATGAGCCAGCAGGTCGATGGCCATATCCCACCTCCAGGCCTTCTCGCAGGCACTCATCGCAGCACCAAAAACCACGACGTCAGCCTCGATCGAATCTCCATCGAAAGCTTGCAGAAGTGCAATGGCCCTTTCCCATTGCTGTGCCTTCTCACAGGCTCCAATGGCAGAAGTCCGTGCAATGGCATTGGGCATCTGCCTCCTCTCCTCCATTCGACACAAGGCTAGCAGCGCAGACTCCCAGTGAGAACCAGCCTCCCAGGCAGACACCAGGGAGCTGCAGAGGACAGGATCCCGAAACCCATCCTGGCGCAAGAGATACAAGGCGCGCTCCCACTCCTGTGCCCCAGTGCAAGAACTCACGACACTGCTCAGAATGAAGCCGCTCTTAGAGCCAGACTCTTCCATGAGAAGAAGGGCTTTTTGCCAGGCTCCAGAGCGTTCACATGCCGTGACCAAGGCAGACCAGGCTTCGTGGCTGGGGCGGACCCCCATCAAAGCACAGGCATCCCAAACTGCCAAGGCTGCTGTGAGCTGCTGACCACGGCCACAGGCTGCCACGACAGAGCCCAGAGTCACTACAGATGGGCTCAGGTCCGAAGTAAGCATCAGCTCGAATAGGGCCAGTGCCGCAATCCACTTGCCAGCTCGCTCACAGTTCGCAATCCCTGCGTTTATGGCCACTGTGTTCGGGAGAATCTGCTTGGACCCCATGCCCTGGATCAGTTGCAGCGCTTGCTGCCAGCAGCTGAAAGCTCGGCCTGCACTGATCGTGGCACTGTAGGAGAAGACACTCAGCTGCAGGCTCTCCGTTTCCATCTTCTCCAGCATACCGATTGCAGCTTGCCATAAAGAGCCCTTCTCCATAGCCGAGATGCCAGCACAGTAGGCCATCTCGTCCAGCCTCTTGCCAGAGGCAAAGATCTCCAGAGACTGCTCCCACTGCTCAGCTTTAGAGCAGGCACTGACCAACATGCTGCAAGCTGCCACATCAAGGGGAAGATGATCGGTGTCTGTAAGATCCCTCCAAAGAAACAAGCTGTCTTGCCACCTGGGGCAGGGGAAGGCACAGGGGCTTGACTAGTCCCTCTCCTCTTTTTGGAGATGGTGAGTGGGAGTCGCGCATCAACCTCTAGAACTTCTTGCTATGTCTGATCGGACCCACCTCCGTTCCTTGATAAGTGTGCTGACGGTGCAGCTGCAGGCAGCTGCATTCGGCGGTTCCCTCGCCTCCCAGGCATCTCGCAGCAGGGACACCTGGAACTGGGCAAGACCACCAGGAGACGCTTGACGAAGCTCCCATCTTTGCTCAAGGGAAAAGCAACAACCCCAGAATCCCAGAAGAAATCCTCCCAAAAGCCCATGTGCGACGGGGCCACAGCCAGGGACCAGCTGCGAGAACGGAGTGCCGCCCTGACACTCCCAAGCAGCTCCCGGCCCGAACCAGGGCCCCTGCTATGGAGGCCCACGTCCATAGCACATTGGGGCAAGGAGAGGGGCTTTCCAGCACTCACAACTGGGACAAGCCTGGCGAGGTTCCTGGTAGGTCGAAGCACTTAGGGGAAGGGCTTTAGGGTTGGGGCTTCAGGGTATAAGCACTGTGGGCTTTACGCTCTCGCAACTCGGACTCCACCAGACGTGTGTTCGGGCTTCAAGCTCTCACAACTCGGACATGCCAGGCGAGGTTCAATAGGTGCGAGTCGGCGTGAAACAAGCATCAGTGTGTGGGCTTCAGGATTTAGAGTTTAGAGCTGTCTAGGGAAGTGGACGTGACCATCGCACGTTGCAGCTGTCGAGGTGTCTTGCGGCTGCCCCGAGGCTAGCAAAAGGTCTTCAGGGCCTTAGGGCGTCACGGTACTTATTTTCGGGCTTTACATCTAGTCGAGAGCGAAACTTTTGCAACGTCATGTGTCTGTGGGTTGGAACTCTACGTCCACAGTAGTTCTTCGGGTTTCTTGGCGTCAAACTCCTTTGGGCTCTGAGCCCTTGGCGGTGCATCGGAGACCACAGCCTTTTGCATGCTGACTCCCGTCAATGAAACAAGGTCTCCACCAGAAAAGGCTCCTTTGCCATGCAGCCCTAACCCAAAACCCTACACCGTTGCTATGTACTCACAGTTCCGAAGGGATCCTAATCGCCTCCCCTTAACCCTCCAACCCTATGCCTGTTTTTAACCCGTATGCTATAAATTCTAAAGGGAAACCCTGGTGCTGGTTCTCTCAACCCCTCTCAGCGCCAGACCAGGGCACGAAGCACCGCCGCCCGCCCTCCATCGGCCTTAGCTTGCATGACTGCACAACTACTTCTACTGCTGCTACTGCCACTGCTGCTGCTGCTGCTGCTCCTGCTACTACTGCTACTGCTGCTGCTGCTGCTGCTGCTACTGCTCCTGCTACTACTGCTACTGCTGCTGCTGCTGCTGCTGCTGCTACTGCTACTACTGCTACTGCTGCTGCTGCTGCTGCTGCTCCTGCTCCTACTACTACTACTACTACTACTACTACTACTACTACTGCCACTGCCACTGCCACTGCTACTCCTGCCTGCTACTGCTACTGCTACTGCTGCTGCTACTGCTACTGCTACTGCAGTGCTGCTA